TGCTTTAATAAACTGAATTGTCGCGTTAGGATTCCACCTGATAGCTTGTCGCTAATTTGCCAATCAGACTTAGCTGACTCTGAGTCAGAAGAGGAATTTAGTGACGCCAAGTCAGAAGCTTCGGTACAATTCAGTCTTAAAAGAAGTACTTCACTTCCATCCTTTAAAGATCTGCTAACAGTATCCGACGAGCCGTCAACAGCCACCAGTTCACCAAATATTTCTACAATTTTTCAAGAATTTTTAGACATGGCTACCCCTGAACAGAAAAAAATCGTTTATTAGTCTTTGTGCCTCAATCATTAGGGAAAATTACAATGGAGATCCGCTAGCACTTGAATCGTTTATAGACAAAATTAATTTAATTGAAGATTTTGCAGATGAAAACTTAAATACGACTTTTATATCATTTTTGAAATCGAGACTCGAAGGCAAGGCACGTGAAGCAATTCCAACAGAAGTTAGTTCAGTTAGGCAAATAAAAGATGCGTTGAGAAATAGAATAAAGCCAGACAACTCGAAAGTTGTTGCTGGGCAAATTGCATCTTTACATGTCATAAACAACAATTATACGGAATTTGCTAAGCGTGTCGAGGAGCTTTCGGATGCTTTAGAGCGCTCTTTGATCATTGAAGGTATGACACAGTCTAAGGCTCATGAAATGGCAGTCGAGCAAACAGTTAACGTTTGTAGACTTAATACTCGGTCGGATTTGGTCAAATCAATTTTATCGTCAACTACCTTCAGTGATTCAAAGGACGTAGTGGCAAAAATGATAGTCGAACAAAATAATCAAGTGAAAGAGCGCCAAGTGTTAGCGTTTCGATCCCGAGTAAATAGGCCAAATAGCTTTAGAGGTAGTTACAGAGGGCACAATTTTAATAGGTACAACAATAACAATTTCAGACACAACAACTCAAATTTCAATAGGTACAATAATAACGCTGATAACAGTAGGTACAGCAATAACGGTTCAAGGCATAACGGTAACAATTTCAACAATAATAGTAATCGGTCATCAAACAACAATCGAAACAATAACAGCAACAATAATAGTAATAGACGTCCAAATTCACGCAGTAATGCTAATGTGCGCGCTTTAAACGCCAACGCCCCTCAGGCGCGAACACTGAGGGCGGAAGAATTGGACAATTAAATAAATCTATTTCGACAAAGGGCATTTATTGCTTAAATTTGAATTACTCCGACTTTATCGAATTGAAAATTAATGGGTCAAACAAATTTTATACGTTTTTAGTCGACACGCAAGCCGACATTTCTTTAATCAAATTTTCCAGCATTGATAAACATTTTTCTATAAATACGAACGATATAATTCACATTACCGGTGTCACTTCTAATACAGTTTCTACGTTAGGTACAATTACCATAAACTTGACTTTTACTGATTTTTACATTAAACATACGTTACATGTAGTAAGCGATGATTTTAACATACCATCTAATGGTATACTGGGTAAAGATTTTCTAAAAAGTAACAAATGCGTTATTAGCTATGCAAGCAATCGTATTTCCTTCTGGGTAGGCAATGAAAAAGTCGCCATACCTATCCTACACGGAACCGAAAGCGACACTTGTATCATACCACCCAGATGCGAAGTTTATCGAATTTTCAATTTTGGCAATTCGCCGGATCCACTTTTTGTAGAATCGCAGGAAGTTGAACACGGTGTGTTCACAGCAAGATGCATAGTTAATAGCAGTAACCCAATTATTAAAATTATAAATACCACAGATGAAGTAAAACATATAAAGAATGTCAATATTCGGACTGAAAAACTTTCCGACTATCACGTTTATTCAATTAATAAGACCAAGACAGAAGACTCGCGAACGAACGAATTAATAAATATTTTAAAAAACCAAATCCCTACAGAAGCTAACAGCAATTTACTTGACCTTTGCATAAAATATGCCGACATTTTCGCTCTTGACAACGACAAAATGACATTAAACAATTTTTATGAAAAGAAACTTAGGTTGACTGACACTGACTGATGTAAAAAACTATCGTCTACCATATTCCCAACGTGAAGAGATAACTCGCCAAGTTAATAAATTATTAGATAACGATTTAATTGAAGGAAGTTATTCCAACTACAATAGTCCTCTAATTTTGGTTCCTAAAAAATCGACTAATGGTCAAAAAGCATATCGTATGTGCGTTGATTTCCGCGCAGTCAATAAGAAACTTATTGCGGATAAATTCCCTCTCGCACGAGTTGACGATATTTTGGACAATCTTGGCAGAGCTAAATATTTTTCTACTTTAGATCTTTTTTCTGGATTTCACCAAATCCCCTTGCATGAAGATTCACGTGATATAACTTCTTTTAGCACAGACCGTGGAGCATATCGATGGAAAGTATTGCCATTCGGTTTAAGTATAGCACCCAACTCATTCTCACGAATGATGAGTATAGCTTTTTCCGGTATTCCACCGAACGTAGCATTTTTATATGTATATGACATTATCGTCATAGGCTGTAGCGAAGCGCATCACATTAAAAATTTAGCGAAAGTTTTCGAAACTTGCCGAAATTTCAATTTAAAACTGAATCCAAAAAAATGCAATTTTCTCAGGCCCGAAGTAACGTTTTTAGGGCATAAATGCTCAGCAAAAGGTCTGCTGCCAGACGATTCCAAAATAGTTGCAATTAAAAAGTATACCAAACCTACTGACAAAGATGCAGTACGACGTTTTGTCGCATTTGCAAACTATTACCGAAGGTTTATCCCCAATTTTGCAACTCTGGCAGCACCTTTGAATAAATTAAGTAGGAAAAGAGTAGATTTTGTTTGGGATGAGAAATGTGATGAAGCTTTTCAAGCGTTACGATCAGCCTTAATGTCACCGAAATTGCTACAATATCCAGACTTTACAAAGCAATTTATTATTACAGTTGATGCTTCAAAAATAGGGTGTGGGGTTATACTTAGCCAAGAACAGCAAGGTTGCGATTTACCAATATGTTTTGCCTCAAAATCATTTAACAATGCAGAACAGAAAAAACCAATTATCGAATTAGAACTTCTAGCAATATATTTTGCCATTAAACAATTTCGACCATACGTTTATGGAACGCATTTCTTAGTAAAATCAGACCACAGACCATTAGTATACCTGTTCAATATGAAAGACCCCTCTTCAAAACTTTCAAGAATAAGGTAAGAACTGGCGGAATACAATTTTACTATTGAATACATTAAAGGAAAATTAAATGTTGGAGCAGACGCACTCTCACGTATAACGATAGACGAAATAAGGGAATCAACGAAAAATATTTTGGCAGTACAGACGCGATCAATGACTAGCCGAGAAAACGACAAAATGATACAAAATACAGATAATAACGAAGATGAAAAACAGGAAACATTAAACGTTTATGATAAATTTTCTTACAACTTTTCAAAAAGAATACCGCGTATTAGAACAGAAATTACTTATGATAAAAATGAAAAAATTAAAAATTTACGAATTTGTGCACATATTAAACATAAAAAACTCGAGTTACTTAATTATGTCTTTGCTAACGAAATAATGAATTTCGATGATTTACTTTCGAGGCTCGAAATTGAAGCCAGCAAACACAAAATTAAGGAGATTGAATGGCCAAAAGACGATGAATTTTTCCGTCCCTTTACAATTGCTAGCTTAACAAATCGCGGAAATCTATTTTTAAAATCATTACAAATAATTTTAACAGATCCAGTCGAAACTGTGACCGAAAATGACAAAAAACTAAAACTAATGACCATTTATCATGACGACCCAATATCAGGAGGTCACTGTGGCATGAAAAAACTTTATGCGAAACTTAGAACAAAATATTATTGGAAAAATATGACCCGTGATGTCGCAAGATATGTTAAAAATTGTCAAAAATGTCTTTTAAATAAAGTAAACCCGAAAGTTAAAGAAAAACTAGTACTATGTTATCGATACCATAGGACCGTTACCAGAATCGAAATATGGTAATAAGTTCGCAGTTACCATTATTTGCGACCTCTCAAAGTATTTAGTTACTGTTCCTATACCAGATAAAAGTGCTAAAACTGTTGCATCAGCAATTTTTGAAAGTTTTATTTTAATATATGGCATTATGCACTCTATAGAATCCGATTTAGGGACTGAATATAAAAATGAACTTTTTGATGAATTAACCAAACTTTTAAAAATTAAACATGACTTTTCGACAGCACACCATCACGAAACCGTAGGTACAATAGAACGAAATCATAGAGTATTTAATGAGTACTTACGAGCATTTTTAAATGAATCATATTCCGACTGGGATACATATTTAAAATATTTTACATTTTTGCATAACACAACCTCAAACACAGTTTTTGATAATAAATTTACTCCATTTGAACTGATTTTTGGTAAAAAACGCTGTTTTACCAAACGAAGTACAAAAAGTTAAAATTGATCCAATTTACAATGTTGATAATTATGCAAAAGAGGTAAAATATCGTTTGCAAAAGTCACATGCACTCGTTAAAGAACTCGTAACAAAACATAAAATCCAATCGAAGCAGTCATTTGATAAAAATGCGCGTCCGGTACTAATTGAAGAAAAAGATACGGTTTTAATACAAAAGGAACCTAGAGATAAACATAGCAATATATATCTGGGTCCTTACATGGTACAGAAAGTAGACGGTACAAATGTTACGGTTTTCGACAAAACCAAAAATAAATTAAAAACGGTTCACAAAAACCGCATTCAAAAAGTCACATAATCTATTTTTATTGAATTTATTTAAATACGCAAGTAAGATTCATAGTTGTCTCAAAACGAATCAGTCACGTCACACATATATAAATAATTACTAGTATGACGTTTAGAGATTAGGCAGTAGAATTAATTAAAATATGTACATGTGCATAAACATGTGCAATAACTCATGAATTATATTGCAAATCTAGTTGGGAAATTATTTTTATTTTTGTGAATGAATAATTTCCAAAAGTAAAATATATTTGAAGATGTACCATTAAATCAAATTTTAGCTTAATAAACCTTATAAGTATATATTTTATATTTAATTGGAGAACATATAAAGAAAACATATAATTCAATTAAACTCAAACGAACAAAGATAAGATTTCTTTACTATTTATTCACATTAATAAAAAAAATTGTGAAAAGCGAAAAAAAGCAAAAAAAAAAAAAAAAAAAAAAAAAAAAAAAAAAAAAAAA